CTAGAGATCTCATGTATCAATAAAACAGACAAAGGCTGGCAGGCAGGTTAGCTCAGTTGGTTAGAGTGGGGCCTTGTACGCCAAGGTCAAGGGTTCAGTTCACAGTACCAGCTAGCTGCCAAAAAAAAAAAAGGTCTTGGGGACCAACATGGGGTCCCAACATTTTATATATATATATATTTTTTTTTTTGTTTGTTTGTTTTTTTTGGTCTTTTTGTCTTTTTTTGTGACTGGCAACGGATCGCAACCCTCAGTGTCGCTCATTTTATATATATATATATATATATATATTTTTTTTTTGGTCTTTTTGTCTTTTTTTGTGACTGGCAACGGATCGCAACCCTCAGTGTCGCGCCCGTACCGGACCGGGACCGGCAACGGGATCGCAACCCTCGGTGTTGCCCCCGCTCCTTGCTCAGCCAGTGAGTGGCCAGTCTGTATGTGGGATCTGAACCCTCGGCAGGAGCGCCGCCACGCTTCCCAAGCGGCACACTGTAGCAGTGCGCCACCGGGCCGGCCATGGAACAACTTCTTTCTGCTTGGGGGAAGAAATAAGCCCTCATTGATCAGAATCCTGAAGAACAGAAAGCAATTAGGTAGCGAAGATAGTAAGGCATTTCAGGCAGAAGGAACTGCATGTGCAAAATCACCAGCTCTGGGAAAAAAAAATGTGTATTTGTGGAAAAAGTTTAGTGTGACTGTAGCATGAAGTGTATGGGAGACATGGCAGTGGAGGTTTGAGAAATATGCCTGGCTAGAAAGTGGCAAGCTTTGTACACTGTGTAGACCACAGAGAACCAGCAGAAATTTTTGAAAATAGGTTTTTCCACTGTCAGTTGTATGAGATATATAAACATTTCTCATGGGAGTTCTCTTCTATAGTCACCATTTATTTGGGCAATGAAGTCTGCTTTTCCTAATGAAGGCCTTGGAAGGCTGGAAAGTTTGAGAACCAGGAATCTAGGACATAGTCCAGCTCATGGCAAAATTCTGAAGCATATGTAAAATCTGCCCTTCCCCCTTCCTATTTCTTTTCTCTCTCTTAAGCCTCTACTCCCTCATATTTCCAGAAGGATCTTTTTGGTTTTCACCAGAGGTCTAAAATGGGGGAACTGGAAGGGACCTCAGAGGTTATTTTGGTCCATCTTCCTTACATTACTGTCTTGGAAATAGACTCTCAGTGAGGACATGATTTACTCTCCTGGTTTTCCTTCTGTCTCTCTGGTTTGGTGCTGGGTATTTTGCTTTCCTCCCTCTTTTCTGAGGAAATTTCACAGACTACTTTGGCTTTAACTTAACATCTATATATTAAAGACTCCAAGATTTGTATTCCCAGCCCTGTTTTTCTCTCTGAGCTCTAAACCCTTTAACTGTCTATAGAACATTGTCATTTGATGTTCTCCTGAAACCTAGCATGTCCAAAGATAAATTTATGACTTTTCCCCACACCCCACATATCTCCAGTATTCCTCACACCAGAAAATGTCACCTTCTCTGCCCAGTTGCTCAAATCAAACCGGGTATCACCCTTGACACCTCCTTCTCCTTTAGTGTCCAACCCCCAGTCCAATCAACCACTAAGATCTCGTTTTACCTTCTAAAACTCCATTTTTGGCCGGCCTGTGGTTCACTTGGGAGAGTGTGGTGCTGATAACATCAAGGCCACAGGTTCGGATCCTATATAGGGATGGCCGGTTACCTCACTAGCTGAGCGTGGTGCTGACAACACCAAGCCAAGGGTTGAGATCCCCTTACGGGTCATCTTTAAAAAAATAAATAAAATTAAAAAAAATAAAACCCCATTTTGTTCATTTCTCACACTCTTCACTGCGACTGTATAAGGCCTTGCCACCATTATTTTTTGCCTGGGTTTACCACAATACTTGTACAACTCCCAATCTATTCTTTTCTCCCTAATTCTATTTCCTACACTGCAACCAGAGTGAACTTCTTAAAACATAAACCGGGGCCTGCTGTGCTCCTATTAACCCTTTATTGGGTGATCATTGTTTGTAATGAAAGACCTTATTTGTCTCCTTTCTGCACAATTCTCTAGTCTCATCTGATGTCATTCTCTCTCATTATGCACCAGTCACGCTGGCCTTCTTTCAGTTCCTCACCAATGCCAAGCTCTTTCCTTGCTTAGGGCCTTTGCACATATTGTTCTCTTGCTTCCATTCCTTGCCTGGCCAATTTCTAGTCATCCTTCAGGTTTCAGCTGGGGCTTATTTCCCCAGGGAAAACTTCCCTAGCTTCTCTGAGAAGGCTCTGTCTGTCTGTACTTCCTCATTGCACTTGGCACAACTGTAATTGAATAATTATTTGGATAACTATTTATTTAGTCTCAGTTTCCCCAACTAGTCTATAAGCTTCAGGAAGAAGTGAACTGTCTTAAGACTTTCTCCCCAGCACATTGTCTGGCTGTCAGTAAACAGCTGTTGAAAGAGGGATTGAATGCTTCATCCACCCAGGGCAGAGCTGAAACTAGAACCTAACCCATTTCTGGTACAGTATTCTTTTCTCCAAACCATAAAATGATACCACCCATTCCAACTTCCCCTTCCATTTCCCAGTCTGAATACGAGGGTACTTCAAAATTTCATGGAAAGATTCATATTATCTTTTAATTCTATTTTTTCCATGAACTTTTTTTTTTTTTTTTTTTGTGGCTCACTGGTATGGGGATCTAAACTAGAGACCTTGGCGTTATAAGGCTGTAGGCTGTGCTCTAACCAACACGAACCTTCTTAATTCCTTTGTACATCAGTCTTGTGTGTTCTATTTCTTCAGAGCCTTGTTAAAGGCAACCTGGCAAAGTAATGCAGGTTTAGAGATTATCCTTCCACTGAGGATATTTGCATTTTAACATTTTAACTTGGAATTCCTGGAGAATAGAAGGTAATCCCAAAGGAACTAGTCAAAATTCCAGGCACCATGAAGATATTATTGGAAGGAAAGAATTTTTACTTACATCCCTTAATGGGATTACAGGAAAGGAACCTACAATATGATAGACCTGTTTTAATGGCTATCTTTTTATTTATTTATTTTTTTGTCTTTTTCGTGACCAGTAAGGGGATCACAACCCGTGGTGTGGTGTCGCCCGCACCGCGCTCAGCCAGTGAGTGCACCAGTCAGTCCTATATAGGACCCGAAGCCGTGGCGGGAGCGTTGCTGCGCTACCAGCCCCGCACTCTCCCGAGTGCGCCACCGGGCCGGCCCAAATGGCTACCTTTTTAAAAAAAATTTATCTTTGAAACAAATCTGTTAGGTAGGTATCATTATCTCCTTTATCAAATAAGGGAACCTAAGAAAGGTTTAGTAATTTACCTAATATTGCACATCTAATGGGGAAGCCAGTATTTAGACCTTCCCTCTCCCAGGATATGACTCCTAGTCTAATCCTCTGTTAACAGTAACATGCTGCCTCCAAGGGTAAGTGTCAGAAACTGCTTACATAGTTTATGCATAAATTTGGGCCATGGGGTTAACTGACTTAAAAAAAAAATTATTAGGTTTCTTTTATTCCCTGGGTGGGATCTACACTCTGAGACTTGGCATTTTACTGTCTCCACTAAAAGTTCATCACGTTTGGTGCTTGACCTTATTCATTCCAACCATAAATGTGATCACAGGCAGAAAAAAATGAGCACTTTGAGCAAAATTGTGATGTAAAATCCAAGAGGCCGTGGTATCACTTATTTTACTGAGTCCATGAAAGCCTCCTGTATCCAGCGAGTGGACGGTATTAGGTTATTGATTAATAGTGCATTACTTATGTTTACTATTATTTACAGTAACAAAAGCTATTAGAAGGGTTTTCCTAGTATCAAATATCCCCGCATGAGTTGGGTTTGCCTCTGATTAAAGATGCTTTTGCCCATGGGCTGGCCCGTGTTTCACTTAGGAGAGTGTGGTGCTGATAACACCAAGGCCACGGGTTCGGATCCCTATATGGGGATGGCCGGTTAGGTCACTTGGGAGAGTGTCGTGCTGACAACACCAAGTCAAGGGTTAAGATTCCCTTACCAGTCATTCTTAAAAAAAAAAAAAAAAAAGAAGTGCTTTTGCCCACCTTGTGGATCTCCTCTGGATTCTGGTTCCCGAATATAGGATTTCTCTGGTGGGGGTTGAGGGACACCATTTTGTTCCTTTTATTTTCAGATACACCTGGCTATTTAATAGCTTTGTAAACTTGGGCCCATTACTTAACCTCTCTGCTTCGCCAGTGGGAAAACGGAGACTGATAGCTATTTTGAAGTTGTCGAAAGCCTTTAATGTGTTTGAAAGCGCCTAACACGAAAGCCTGGCCCTCAGCAGGTATTCGAATAGTGTTAATTCTCTTGCTTCCCCAAATCAAGGACATTCCTTCTTGAAGTCCTTACATTTATAGGTTCTTTGGACTTCTCGAAAGTACATGTAAAATTCTGTGCAGATGTGTGAGATGTATTTTTCTTGGACATAAAGTACACAGTTTAACAGATTACCTAGGGGGCTAGCCATTTCCCTGAAAAAAAAATTGTAGATTCTTCACCCTGCAATGCTAAGGGGTGAATCTCTTCAGCGGAGGACCGGGTTTTTGTGTGTGGATGTTTCGCTCTCTGGGCACTCTTTTTGAAGTCTGTTAACAGAGGATGATGACCAGACCCCTCGGGGGGTGGGCTGAGGGTCTCTCCGGGGGCAGAACCCCCCCCCATGAAGTTTCCCCGGGTCTCTCTGACCTTCTTTGGGTTCCCTCACAGATAGGGGTAGGGTGTCATTTGCAGCTCGGAAGCAGGTTCATTTTAAGGTCTCGTGGGCTCCGGAGGCCGCTCCCTCAGAGAGAAACCGGCTTTTGTGGATTTTCTCAAGCTAAAACTACTCTCTCCAGGTGTTAGTGAAAACCTCGTGGTGCGACCCTGGTCATCCCCACCCTCCAGGGTCTCAAGCCCGAGGCGGTGGGGGCGGGGAGGCCGCGCGTACCGCTTCCGCTCCTCCAGCCCACCAGAGGGCGCCGCGGCCCTGCCTCTTCGTTCCCGGAGTGCTTCGCGCCGAGCGCCTTCCGCGTGGGTGAGTGACTGTGAGAGTCAGCGCTCGCGCCGCGCGCGCCGTCCGCCTCCGCCGCTCGGCATCCTTATTTTTGGCTGTGAGGGGCGGGCGCGCGCGTCAAAGCATAGAGACGGGCGTTGAGCTCTCGGGCTAGAGCGTCGCCGAATCGGAGCTAGAGTCCGAGCCGCGCGCTGTGTCTCCGCTGCGTCTGCCGAGGCTCCTGAGTGTCAGGGACAAAAGCTGCCGCCGCGCCGCCTGCTCCCGCCTCTGGGGCTCATCCGCCGCCGCCGCCCTGAGGAGGGTCCGCTGCCGCCGCCACCCGTCAGGATCCGAAAGCCATGTCGGCCAGCAGCCTCTTGGAGCAGGTACAGGCCCGGCCCGCATGCCTCGGCCATTGTGTGAGGCGAGAGGGAGCCTGACTAGGCCCGGGCCCGCCGCCCCCGGTCGGGCAGAGCCGAGGCGGCGCCTCTCGCGGGCCGGGTTTCGGGCCTCTCAGGCAGGCCGCACCCTGCGCCTCGCCCTCAGCCAGCTCTTCCCGCTCCTCCCTGGGCCTCGCAGCCCGCCGGCTGCGCCGCGTTCCCTCTCCTCAGCGGGCCGCGTTTTCCTTCCTTATTTCCTTCCTCTTCCTTGAAGCCCGGGTTCCGTCGCCTTGTTCCTGGCGCGTCCCCCGCTTTTTTTCCCCGGTGGCCCGCCGGCCTAGCGCTTTTCCCCGCCTCCCATTTTCAACCTCCCCCTCACCACCATTCCTGACGCCTCCCCTCAGGCCTGCTGCTTTATTTCCTTTTCGGGCCCTGCTTTAATTTGTTTCTCCTTTTTCATTTCTTCCTTGGGCAACTTGCTGTTCGGCGGCGTTTCCTTCGCCCGCAGAGACCAAAAGGTCAAGGAAACAAAGGTAAGCCTCTGCCGGTGGCCCGGGGCCGGCAGGGGAACGCCGAGTGGTGGGGGCGGGGTCTCCGGGAAGCGCCCCGGGGAGAGGACCTTTCGGAAGCCTTGTAGTTCGCAGGTGCCTCACACTTAAGTATTTGACCCATTCGGTGTGTTCCTGCAGCTGGCGAACAGCTTTTCAGCTAACAAGGAGTAATTCATTGAGGGTGGGGGTGGATTCGGTTTTGAAATGCCCCAGGTCCTTAGTTTCCTGCAGGTCTTAGAAGGCCTTTGTTTTTCATCCTCGTGGATCACTCTCTGGAAGTACTCACATGAGAGGGGGAGGGGAAGCGGGAGGGAATTGAAATCTAGAGGAGCCAATAAAATGACCTTTTTAGATTAACTTGCTCAGGGTGAAGGGAGACATTTTCACTGAGGAGGAATATTGCTTTAGCATTCACTGTCTTTGAAGTTCAAATTTACATACTCTCTTAACTAGTAAGGTTTTTCTATGATTAAGATACATTTTATTAATCTGGGAGGGAGTTTGTGGGATTGGGACAGTCCTAATTTGAAATTTTTTCTTTAGTACAAAATGGATCTGTACATCAAAAGGATGGATTAAATGATGACGACTTTGAACCTTACTTGAGTCCACAGGCAAGGCCCGTGAGTAGTTACCCATTTAGAAATATGGTCGAAACACCATTATTTCTACTACGCACTATGAAAAAATATCATTTTGGGGGGGGGGTCACTTTCTTAATACTTGTTAATGTGTTTTGAAACAGTAATTACAAATGTTATAGGCTGTTAAGATTCCTGTCTCTGTGGGCAAACACATTGTATTCTGAGACTGTAGTGCTGATAACATTTTACATTTACTAACAGTAACACCTGTTTGAGTAATTGTCACACCCTTACCAAGAATATAGCAGTGCAAAACTTAGGAGTACTTACCAGTGTTAAATATTCTGAATTTTCACTGTATAAAACTTTTTCTTTAAGAGAAATTAGATTAATATGTAATGGGGAAGATTCTAATATAAAATCACTTGAACTTCATTCAGTGCCGCAGAACTGGCTCTTCCTTTCCTCTTGTCACTAATGGTTTCTTAGATTATCAGAACTGTTTCGTAGTTAGGTACTTGTTATTTTGAGTTGAGCTATACCTAAATCTTTAGAGACCAATTTTGTATACACTGGCTTCTCACTGAAGGGAGGTATAGGATTAACAAAATAGAGTTAAAGAAGGTTAAAATACTGTTTAGCACAAACTAAAGATCAGGAATGATTGAGGTTTTGCAATGTAATGTCTTCTAATGTGAAGATTAGTTGAATGTAGGTTCACATATTAATGTGATCTGTGCCTGTAGAAACTCGATTCAGCAGTTCTTTTTTATTATCTCAGGTCCCAAAGATGTAGTCACAAAGTTGTAGGTAATATAACTACCCAGATTAATAGACCAAAAGGAATATTGACATCTAAATATCTCTTCCAAAACACCCTAAAAGATCAAGAAGTTCATGGAACAATTATATAAATTCTGACCATACGTTGTATGAAATATAGTAGGTAGTGTTGAATAACTTGACATATTAGTACACGTCCATATTTGGACCTGATTCTTACATAAAACTTTTAGATCCCCTATGTAAAATTTTCTGCATTGAAAGTATAGAAACCACCTAAGTCAGTGATTGGAAAAAAATTTTCACAGAAGACACCAGTTAATCAGGAAAAGTAGGGAAGGAAGTAGAGAAATGGACTATTAACGGGTTCCTGCTATTGAAGTAGTTTGCTTACATAATTAATTATAACAGGGAGAGTGGGAGCATTTAGAAACATAATTTTACGTAGTTCCTGTATAACATTGTTTAAGATTTTTGAGCTCAGGGGCGTGTGGGAACCTGCCAGTTTAGGTGAAGGCATTCAGCATTACCTGTGATACTAAGTGCATTTGGATTTCTTTCTCAAGTAAGCCAAAGCTTTCTTTTAAAAAAAATGGGTGGGGAGAGGCTGGCTGGTTTGTTCAGTTGGTTAGCGCAGTTTCCTCCGAGCATGGTGCTCATAACACCAAGGTCTAGGGTTTGATCCCTGTACTGGCCATCTGGGGGGAAAAAAAAAACAATTTGGAGGGAAGATACAAATCTTGAGTGAGTAGATTAAGAGGGTAATCTTTGTACTTTGTAGTTTATTGTCAAGAGTAATTCATCTACTTTTTAATCAATTTTTCATCACCCTATGTTGGAATAATACTTCAAGCTTAATCCATTGATTATAGACTGCATTCGTTATACATAATGGGTTTGCATCTGTGTTAACATTTTAACACTACTATCGAGAACTTTTAAACTTGAACAGCGTATGTGTGGAAAGACAACTTTTGTTTTTAAGAATTTAAACTGGCATAGAAAAGCACCACCATTTTATCAAACTACATTAGTTGAAAAATTTAATATAGAAGAGATGTTTTATTAGCTAAGGAGTGCCATTGGTAATACAAGTTTGGGGTCTAAGTTAGGATCGTCCAAGTTTTTTTAAGGACATAGCTGCCTCTTGATTAGTTCATGGATCCTTATATTACTAGAACTGTTTTTTGTTTTTATTTTTTGGTGGTAGGCCGGTATGGGGATCAAAACCCTCGATCTTGGTGTTATCAATACTGTGCTCTAACCAACTGAGCTCGCTGGCCAGCCCCACCCAGAACTATTTTGGATTTAGGATAACTCTAAATTTTACTCTCTATCTTGAGTTGAGCTGTATATTTGTAGAGACCATTTTTGTATATCTCTGGCTTATCACATAAGGGATTATTCTATGATAGGATATATAAAAAAATCCTGTTCATCAGAAACTAAAGTAAAATTGAGATTGAGTTATTTACAGTGTATTCTTTATCCTAATGTGAAGACCAGTTGCATATAAATTCATATTTCTTTTTTTAAGGATGATTTTTTTAAGGGTATAGATTGTACAGTGTGTTTAGAATTATACTTTCCTATTTCTGTTGGAAAAGTTAGGTGTGTGTTTTAGCTTGCAGGCATTAATTTTATAGGTGAAGCAAAACAGATTAGCAATACCTTTTTCTCACTTTAAATCTTCTGGAAGCCATTGTGCATTTCCTTTCCAGGTTATAATTAAATAGTGGTAAATGTTGATGTTCCCAGATGGTTTGCCAAGAGGCTAATACTGTAAATTGTATGTAGTGAACCTTGTTTTCTTTTTTTTTGGTTTATGATTCTGGAATGACTGCACAGACATTTGGGCTAGAACTTGAAATTTCCGCTTCTTTTTGTTTTGTTCTTGTTTGGTCTGTTATTGCCTGGTTTTGGTAGGGAACTCTTTTGAACCCTCTTTGGTTCTGCCAAATTTCCCACTCCTTAAATCCAAAGATAATTGGTTTTAATAGAAACATCATCTTAATGCTTCTATAGAGCAAGACTTGCACTCTTGGTGAGATGCTGAGTTTTCCCTTTTCTGAATTGTAGTGCTAAAGTTAAGGTCAATGTTCACTGTATGTATCAGCTTAACTTTAAATGTTTAATTATTTCAGTTATTATACCAAAGTTTCTCTTAATAAAAAAATACCAGTGAGTTTATGTGATGAGATCATATGAATGTATTACTCTCCTTTTTTCTAGCAATAGCTGAAATAATTTAAATTGTGTGACTAAGTGAGGTACGAAATGTTCTGATGTTATTTATTTTTGTGTTTTGGTTTATTTGCCTTTTCTTTTCTTCCACAGAATAATGCATATACTGCTATGTCAGACTCCTACTTACCCAGTTACTACAGTCCCTCCATTGGCTTCTCTTATTCTTTGGGTGAAGCTGCTTGGTCTACTGGGGGTGACACAGCCATGCCCTACCTAACTTCTTATGGACAGCTGAGCAACGGAGAGCCCCACTTCCTACCAGATGCAATGTTTGGGCAACCAGGAGCCTTAGGTAGCACTCCATTTCTTGGTCAACATGGTTTTAATTTCTTTCCCAGTGGGATTGACTTCTCAGCGTGGGGAAATAACAGTTCTCAGGGACAGTCTACTCAGAGCTCTGGATATAGTAGCAATTATGCTTATGCACCTAGCTCCTTAGGTGGAGCCATGATTGATGGACAGTCAGCTTTTGCCAATGAGACCCTCAATAAGGCTCCTGGCATGAATACTATAGACCAAGGGATGGCAGCACTGAAGTTGGGTAGCACAGAAGTTGCAAGCAATGTTCCAAAAGTTGTAGGCTCTGCTGTTGGTAGTGGGTCCATTACTAGTAACATCGTGGCTTCCAATAGTTTGCCTCCAGCTACCATTGCTCCTCCAAAACCAGCATCTTGGGCAGATATTGCTAGCAAGCCTGCAAAACAGCAACCTAAGCTGAAGACCAAGAATGGCATTGCAGGGTCAAGTCTTCCACCACCCCCAATAAAACATAATATGGATATTGGAACTTGGGACAACAAGGGTCCTGTGGCGAAAGCGCCCTCACAGGTTTTGGTTCAGAATATAGGTCAGCCAACCCAGGGGCCTCCCCAGCCTGTAGGTCAGCAGGCTAACAACAGCCCACCAGTGGCTCAGGCATCAGTAGGGCAACAGACACAGCCGTTGCCTCCACCTCCACCACAGCCTGCCCAGCTCTCAGTTCAGCAACAGGCAGCTCAGCCAACCCGCTGGGTAGCACCTCGGAACCGTGGCAGTGGGTTTGGTCATAATGGGGTGGATGGTAATGGAGTAGGACAGTCTCAGACTGGTTCTGGATCTACTCCTTCAGAACCCCACCCAGTGTTGGAGAAGCTGCGGTCCATTAATAACTACAACCCCAAGGATTTTGACTGGAATCTGAAACATGGTCGTGTTTTCATCATTAAGAGCTACTCTGAGGACGATATCCACCGTTCCATTAAGTATAATATCTGGTGCAGCACAGAGCATGGCAACAAGAGACTGGATGCTGCTTATCGTTCCATGAACGGGAAAGGCCCCGTTTACTTACTTTTCAGTGTCAACGGCAGTGGACACTTCTGTGGCGTTGCAGAAATGAAATCTGCTGTGGACTACAACACATGTGCAGGTGTGTGGTCCCAGGACAAATGGAAGGGTCGCTTTGATGTCAGGTGGATTTTTGTGAAGGACGTTCCCAATAGCCAACTGCGACACATTCGCCTAGAGAACAACGAGAATAAACCAGTGACCAACTCTAGGGACACTCAGGAAGTGCCTCTGGAAAAGGCTAAGCAGGTGTTGAAAATCATAGCCAGCTACAAGCACACCACTTCCATTTTTGATGACTTCTCACATTATGAGAAACGCCAAGAGGAGGAAGAAAGTGTTAAAAAGGTAACCGGCTTACATTCTTAAGGTTTTAGGGAAGGAGGAGGAACTGGAGAGAACAGGAGAGGTATAAAAGCTCTGTAAATAACACAGTATCACTTAACAGTTCAAGGCTTTATGGAAGTATAATTGGCCTTAATATTTGAACCCTACTGTGAAGGAATGTGAGAACATTAGTGGAGGACAGAAATAGGAGCTTAAAGGAAAGCAGAAACAATGCAGAGAAATTGAAGTTAGCTGATGCAGAAAGAAGTGAAGAATGAGTCTGAGAGAAATACAAAGGGAATAATTGAAGTGTTAGAAACATGGAAATTAAAGTAGGAAAAGATTGAGGCAATAATATGGCAGAGGAAAAATATAAAAATTTTGTGTTGGAATTAACTTTTGACCTAGCTGGGGTTTGTGGTTATTTTAAAGAGTTGGTGTGTCACCAATCCCTGAAATCACTTTTCTGCCCTCATGACAATTGGAAGTGTTAAGAGTGTGTTTTTCAGAACTTTATTCCTTGCTTTGTTCTTTGTGGTGTTAGGCTTAATTACGTTTTTCAAAACCATTTTCTAGTTAGAAGAGTTAATGTTTATTATATAAAACTTGGAAAACAGATAATCAGAGAAAGCTGGTCTCTTAACATTTTGTTGTATTCCTGAAGTCATTTTCTTATTACTTTGTAACAAGTGGGAGTCTTGGGCAGAGTGATGGAGAATATATCAAAACTAACAAGTTAAATTTATTTAGAAGAGTTGGTAATGCTTGCTCTTTGGGTATTGAGTGAATGCAAACTTGAGGACCATAAGAGGATGATTTAAAAAAAAGAAAAAATCTGGGGCAGATCATACATCTTCCCTCCCGCCCTATATAGGGATCCGAACCCGTGGCCTTGGTGTTATCAGCACCATACTCTCCCAAGAGAGCCACGGGCCGGCCCCCCCTTTTTTTTTTGGATTCACCACTACAAGTCGTACAGATCATATATCATGTAGGACTTAGGCATTCTGAAATGTAGGAAGTAGGTGAAAAGATTATGGACAAACAAGGAGAACATTTTTCTTTGAAGATCTGTATATTAATGATTGAGAAAATTCTGAGCTGGTTTGCCTCAAATGTAAAGTAAACAAAACCTAACAAGCTTATGTACGTATATTTTCTTTATATTTGCCATGAATTCATAGAGATCTTTTATATGGTCTCGGATCTGAGGTACTCATGCCTCTGTGACAACTTACTCCTTCAAGCAGTGGGAGGAGAGCTCTTTGTTATATTCCACTTGGAGGTGCATGTGCATAGTTGTTCAGCTAAAGTGGGGATAGTTGCCATCTTACCTTCTAGCATGTACAGACGAATAAAAAATGGTGGTACACTTGTCAGCGTCACTAAAAAAACATTGAGAATAGAGAGATTGTTGAAAAGCTGGCTGGCAGGGAGAGCTTTCTCCTGGTAGTCTTTTAAAGACTGCCCTGTCTCTCAAAGTTCAACAGTTTAATTTAAAATCTGCCATAATCTGTAGAAAAAGTTAGTTTACTGGTGCTTTTTGCTAGACATCTGAAGGGCTTTAAAGATGGCTTCTTAGGCTCCTGTTTGTAGAGGAACAAGTAAGGAGGACATGACCTTTTAGGCATCATGTAATGGCATAGCAGATTTATGAACATGTTGGAGGCACATGTAGGTGCTTGATTTAACCACTTGAAATGTGTACTGTCTATCTCATTATGAATTTGCTTTCCTTTATCTTGTAAAATTCTGTCCTACATTTTCTGATTAAAAGCATAGATGTTAAGATAAACTTGTTAGGATCAGTGGGGAAAAGTGGTTTTAAAAATGAAGTAGCAGGGCTGGCAAGTAAGTTGGTTAAAGTGCAGCCTTGTAACACCAAGGTCAGTGGTTCGGATCCCCATACTGGGAAGCTACCAAAAGAAAAAAAAAAAATGAAGTAGCAAATTTGGGTACTGTTGTTGTTAACTTTTAAACAAGTATGTATTTGGATTAAATTCACGAGAATGGTTCAGTGAATGGTAATTGAACTTTATAAGTAGGTGTAAGATTCATATATTGGAATTGATCAGCTTTTAATGTTTTCATAGAATGAGCATAATAATAATAATCAAACTTTAGGGTCTTTGTTAAGTTAACGCTTCTTTTTAAAAACCATTCCATAAAGACACTTGATGAATGAATATCCTACTGTTCTCAGGCTGGGGATCAAACCACCAAATGAAAATAAAAAATAAAAGCTTCGATTATAATTGTGTCAGGTTACTGTTTAGTTTATTTTCTGTAAGAAGAGCTGCTGGAGTTTCAGAAAGGTCCCTACAATTGCTTCTAAGCTTAGTTACCATTTCAGTCAGTATTGCCTTACTCCTCTGTTGGTTACTGTTATCCTTAACACCCTTACATAACTGCCTGAAACTGTTCTACAGTCTTTATTACGCTTCCAAGAACAAGCACGTTTCGTGAAAATAGGACTCAGCTCATTGAGGCATTAGACTCCCTTAGGTAGGGTGTTTTTGTGTGTGCCTTTGTATTACTTACAAGATTGCAAAAAATCTTCATGCCAAATAGGGATGGTAACTCAAATAAGTCGGGAAGTACTTAAACTTCATCCTGAAGTGATGTCACAGCTGTTCTAAAGTTCCATGATTGGGCATGTATCTTGGCAGAACTCACTGAAGCAGAGCCACAGTCATTTTTGCCTATTATTATTACTGACTTATTCTATCACATGATCTAATTGAGTAGCATAGAACTTTCAAGCACTGGATCTGTCTTGAAACTTTCATCAAATTTTAGTGACATTTTTGATAGTGTTGTTTACTTTGTTGTATAATGCAGATACTGTTTTGTTTTCTGCTTTCTGCATTTATTTAGAACCTTTTCCCAATCGTAAGATATTCCTCCATGTCATCACTTTTGGTGGCTTCTTAGTATTCTGTCATAAACTTATTTAACAATTAGGGATTGGTAAATTATGTCAACAGTTTGTATTTTTATAATTTTTAAATAACTTTTTCCAATTAAAATAACACTACACTGAACATCTTTTTATATAAATATCTATTCGCATTTGTCTTTTAGTGTTCAGCTGGGTCTTCAAGGGTATATGATTTTGAAGGTTTTGGCTGTGTTATATTCAAGGTCCTTCAAAAAGATTGTGGAACGATTTGTATTATTTTTTAATTGTATTTCCCCATGAACTTTTTGATATACCCTTGTATATTGCCATATGGGCCTTCCTCATTTTTCCTGAAAAGTTTTTTGAGGGAATTACTATGTAGCTGTTGTCCAGAAAAAAAGCAACTGTGAGTTAAGAAACTTTTGCTTTTGACTCAACTTTGAAATAGGCTGGCAGGAAGGAGAGTTACTCTGTATTAGTGTTGTTTTTCTAGAAACCTCATAAAATAGTTGGTTTAACTTTTGTGTTATATTTCTAGCCATTTAACTACAGGTAAAAACAAGGGAAGTAGTTTAGTAGAGGAGACTAAGGACATAATTCTCTTAAAGCCTCCTGGCATAGTATTAGATTCAATTGGGCATTTGGATAAATGTTTTTTCTGAATAACTGGAAAGCAAATGGAGAGTGGAGAGAGAGAGAAAATATTGTTATGATGGCAACAGCTTGAGGTTTACAGTTTTAAAAATGACATTGCCATTAAGTGGGAGTAAGAGGATTTCTTAAATACCTGTAGAATTATTTCTGTTCTCAAGCAGAAGACCTAAAAATGGTAACTTAGGAGTGTCTTTGGATATACCTAAATTTTATTAAGTTGTTTAAGTATTAAGATGAAGTTATTTATCTTTCCCGTGAACATCTTTACTATGTTTAGACACTCTAGAGAAAACAGGAGTATGTTGTCAGGAACTTTACATTGTGACAGCTAACAGTATAAAATAGAAAGTGTTTTCTCAAGGCATGCACAAGGTACCAGTTTGGAAGCTTGAAAGAGGTTGCTTAACCCATCCTGGGGTGTAGGTGGATTGGTCATGGAAGAATCCTGGAAGAAGTGAGCTCTGATGGAAGAAGTCTTGATAGAAGATAGCCAGAGGTGTTTTGGGAAGAATGAACATGGGTGCAGCATAGCCCAAATCTGTAACACCTATAGGTGATAAACGTGGAACAAGAAATCTGTACAGTTCAAGAACAAGTTTGTGGAATGAGTTACCCAAAAGGGAAGTTTGGATTAGAAAAAGGGGGAGTTGAATGAAATGTTTGGACAATTAGTTTAATACAGAAGGAATCTACTGAGACAGGTACAAAATTGGTTTAAAAAACAAAACTCTAGAGTTAAAAGGAGAAAGGAGTAAGGTGTTATTTGAGTCAAAATGGAAGAGCTCCTTGATGAACCTTTATGTGGAAGGAGGGGGAAGCTTGTAGAAGTAGAGATGAACCAGTATATGGTAATAGATCGCTTTACTGAGTGCACATAGCTCACCTCTTCCCACAGTGTATTTCCTGGATCTTATCTTATTTCTCATCATAATATGCTTTAGTGAAGGGCACGATGTTAAGCTTAGAAGAGATGACTTAGAAGGGGAATATGATAGCTGTTTTCATAATGCTTTTAAGACTCTAGATTTATTCTTCATACCAAAAGACAGCACTAGAACAGGGGATAGAGGATATAGGGAGAAAGATTTTTGTAAAGATGGCTAAAAATGAAGTTCTTAGTCACAAGATTTCAAGTAGAGACCAAAAGTGCTTTTATTAGGTATGTTGTAGAGGGGATTGATACATGAAATAGTCCAGACCAGAGAAACCAAGGATAAGAGAGGGTTAGCTGGCTCTGGATAACATCTGAGGATCATGAAGAGGAATTGATGCTATTAAAGTCTTTTTAGGAACATTATTTTTATTTTTAAAATTTCTGATCTAAATATTTATTACATGTAGTAAGAAAGGACTTGAGGTCATAAAGACAGGGATGACAGAAAAGATTGGTGTATTCCCAGTGAATCTTGGTACAGCTTAGGTATGTAGATAGTATTTTTTAATACATTTACTGTTAAGTATTAAT